TGTCTGTGGCTGTGCTAATTTGAAGTGCCTTTGAGTGTTTATTGAGCTATGGCCTCTCTTATGAAAGTGTGGGGTATTTTATGTTGTGAAACATCTGTAATGGGATGAAATGCCCAAACCAGTGTGTTACTGAGGCAAATAAATGGCTTAAAGATGAAAGTCAACTGTATGCTTGTGTTGGCTTGTTAAGAAAATTAATTCTGACAGAGGAACAGATTCCTTCCTGAAGAGAACAGCATTCTGTGGATTTTGGTGGAAACAGCAGTGAATTTGGAGGACACAAATAAGGGCATTTGAAAATACATGAAAAAGCTGTTCAGAATTTGATGTCTCTGTGGTCTTAATTCCTCAGTGTTTCTTATTCATGGAACTGTTTTGTTCATTGTGTAAACTTCCTTGTCCACACTGAGAAAAGCAAAAAGTAGAAGCAGTGTCTTAGCGGCACACTGATAAAAAGCGAGGAAATACAGAGCACAGGAGCTAAACAGAAGAGGAGAAATTGTAGTGGTGTATTGATTCAGAAAGAGTTGTGCATTTGGAGTTAAATGAATGCTTTAAAATACCCATTTTGCTTACTTAGCTCTAATAGATTTGGTTCTACCTTTGCTTAGTTAAGAAAGTTTTAATTACATCCTATGTGTAGTCGCAAACACAGAAAATCATAGCTTATATATGTAAAATCTTCTCAGGAAACCCTCTGGTTAAATTGAGTCTTTTCAAAAGTGTGAGTGTGTTAAAATTGAGATTAGTGTATTATAATTATAGATTATAATATTAAACTGTCTAATGTCTTTATTTTATCATTCACTCTTCTCCGAGTAAAGAGTGGGAAAGTATTCACTGGTCTTAAAAATTAATTTTTTATGTGTTTTGGTAGTGAGAACAAGATTAGCAGTCACTTACAGCAGCCAGTCTCAAAGGGAAAAAGTTCTGATTAATTGACTTCCACAACTATAAAGAATAATTAATTTATAATAATTATATATTGTATTATATATGTATATGGGTGTTAAGAGGGTACTTAACACCCACTCCTGCACGTTTCATTTTCTTCCTATACCAAAACCCAGTGTATTTTGATATGTTTGTGTTGGTTCAAGTCCTGTATTTTGTTGATGTAAAGAACTTGGGTATAAGAAATTGTTTGAAGTCATCTGCATGATTGCATAGACATCAGTGTGCCATAGCCCGGGGTTATATGTAATCTGTCAGGATAATTCATCCAGACCGCATTCAAAGGCGCCTGCAGAAGAGATGGATGGTTCTCCTGATGGCAGCAGTCTGCTTTTGTATGCTGGCTCCTTAGAGGGGCAGTCCATGTTTCTAACACACGTTTGGGTGAAGAGCCGAGCTCCCTCATGTTTATGGTGGACATGGACCTCAGGACACCTGGAATTCCATGCATGTCTGCAGAAGGGTCACACACGTGTCAGGTGTCATGTGTGTACACAAGTGATCTGGTGCTTCTGCCGGGGCTTTTTCTATTCTGCAGGTGCAGTAGGTCTGTTGTGTGACAGAGAAGACTGAAAGAAAGCAGGAGGCTCGTTCAGCTGTGTACTGAGAACAGAGGTTGTCAGCCCGTTCAGGAATAATTGATTTAGGAATTGATGTCTCTCTCCTCTGTGTGTTCTCAGATACTCCACTCCCATGCACACAGATAAGCAGAAGCAAAAGATTCTGTGGCACTTGACTTCTGAATGAATGAGGTAGCCAATGCTCCTATATATGTGGCTGTAGTGCAAAGAATTGTATTTTCTCTTTTTCTTGGAGAAATTGCTGAGTGTTGCAGATTGCTCCCCTGATACAGGATGTGTGTGTGTGTCTCTGGAGTTCATCGGTGGTATTTATACAACTTTGGCAGAAATGATGAAGCACCACTTTACATGGAGAGGCTCAAGAACTACCCTTCTCTAGTAGCAGTAAAACAAAATGTGATTTCATTGTCCTGCAGGTTTCACTGGAAGGCTGATTTTTTTAGAAATTTGCAGATAGCTCCTGAATGATGTGGCTGCCCTTGGCAGACTGTATATGCTGTGGTAATCTTCAGATTCTTCAGGCATGAAGTGTCTGGCATTTCTGTTATCACTAACCCAAGTGAAACATGCAACAAAATGTGATATAAAATGTCCTTTCAGAATGTGATACTTGTAAAAATTGGATTTATAGTAAGATGATGCTCTAGATGCAGTTCAGCACAACTGTTTTTCCTTTCCATTCATTTCTATTATGATTTGACAGCAGGTTTTTTTAATATGGATAGAGGAGTATTTTTCCTTTCATGTTTTCAAGAAAGCCTGCAACAAAAGGGAGATTTGTGATTGGCATTTCTATTAAATTGTGTGAGACAGACTAAAAAGCATTTCTCTCTAGCCAGTGGAAACAAGACAGTGTTCCAAACTACCAGGGGAAATTTTAACATTTTTAAGTGATGTGTCTTTTAAAGAAAAGTCACAATGTCTTTTTAAAATTTACAGTATTTTATTTGCATTTTATCACCTAAATGTGTGAGGATTTTTTTGGAGTTCTTTGCTTTTCTCATCGGAAAGGTGCCCTGTTCATCATGCAAATGCAGTGCAGGTACTGTTTCATGCTTGAGACAGCTGAACAACAAGCTACTGAAAAGAATGGTTTAAATGAATGTTAGGCATGGTCTTATCTACTTCTAACTAGAGAAATTTATGGTTTAAATACAGTTTGAGTCAAAGAAGAGACCCAAGCACTCCTTTGACTTTCAGCAGCATAGACTTAGGACGCAAAAATGCAGGGAACAATCAAAGATACAGAATCATGTGCATTATTGGCATTCCTGGATGTAAGAAATAACATTTGTGTTGTTACTGTGTTGCAATAAAAGGCCCATTGAGAGGCGAAATAATTAACTACCAAGCATTCTAGATCATGCAAGCATTCTTACTTTCCTTAGAATGCACTCAGAGCAGTTTTATCTGCCCATACAGGTGAAAGTTACTATGATTTCATGTTCAAAAGGCCACTGTATTAGTGGCCTTTCAATCTGTGAATGAATAAGGAGTTGCTTACCCTATCACAGGATTGGAAAAGCACAGAACTGGTTAACTGGCTCGTTTTTATTTAGGAAATAAACTAAAACTGACTGCTGCTCATGTTGAAAATTATTTTTATGTGTCTGCAGTATAAAGAGTTTTGAAATACTAGCCACGAATATCACCATGAACAAATTTGTTGTTTGTATTTTTGTTAATATAATAAGTTCCATGCATTTGGTAGTGTCTGGGAGTACTTGCTTGCAAAAAAACAGTTTACTAGCAAAGGAATCCGTTTTTCTTGACTGTTAAGCATATTGTGACTAATAAGGAGTCTGACATTTGAATGTTTACTAACTAATAAACCAAGACCATACAGGTTTTAAGTGATAAAGCTTTCATTTTTCTTAGATTTATAACATGCTTTTGGAAAGAAACCAGAATTATAGTGATACAAAGAACATGCAGTTTAAGTTACCTCTTTGTAACACTGGATGATTGTGTCTCATGTATTCAACAGCAGTAATTCAGAAAAGTAATTTATCATCTGTCACCCAAATGGAAATACTTGTCGTGGGATAGAACAAAGCGTTTTAAAGCAGATTGCATTAATAAAAACGTGGCTGAACAACAACTTTACAAATAGAAATTTTAATTTTACTGGAGCAGATATTCCAGTTAACTTTTCCAGAGATGCATCATTTTGATTCAAGACTGCTAGCAAGAAAATATGCTGCAGTTTGCATATGCATCTGTTTATGAATCTGTATATGTCAGCAGCACTTCAACTTTTAGAACATGCAGCTGTCTTTCAATGTGCTCAGATTATAAAGAGAACAGTTTTTGCTACTAGAAATTAGGTGTATTTGTGTCTTGGTTTAGAGACAAATACTGGAGTGGGAACTAGTTTGCAAACAGATTAATCAGATCGAGTTAAGTTAATCACAGTTTGTTTCCGACATCTCTTCAGTGCATTGGACTGACTTTTCCATTCAGTCTTGCATGAAATACATTTAAGAATGTTGAAATTTAGTTAAAATTCTTAAATATGTGTACAGTCTTTGTCCCTAAAGCTTAGCTTACCTTTTCATGCTTTGTAGAGGAACTGTGCACATATTGTGTAATATGGAACACTTTCGGACTGACACCTTTAGCTCTCAAAACCAACTTCTGTCAATACAAATCATGTTGATTATTGTGAATGTTACTTTAAGAACATTTTTATTTCCAAACCAACACATAAATTCTTGCACTTTTTGTTCCACACACTAGGGGAAATTCATGTCTAGATTTATCAGTTTGCTCTTCATAATTTCATATGGAGAATACACAATTGGTGCTATTTTTTCCACTTGTTAAACAAGTCTTCATTAGTATTGTTATTGCTATTTAAAGTTAATACTCTAATGTTAGGTAGAGGACTCCAGGTTGGAGTTACAATTTAATTTGTTGTACAAATGCAGAAAAATTGAGTGAGTTCTCTAAGTATGAATGAATTGCAGCATTAAAATTGTGGTGCAGTAGAAAACAACGTGCTAGTGGTTTGGTAGTGCTCAGAGCTGTGTTCAGTTGTGTTCAGTACTGTTTACTGTTCATTGGCTTTCTACTTCTTTTCCATCATGTGAATACAGTAACCACAGTAAAACCCATATGCTCTTGTTTTATTGGCAGGTTTCTCCCTCCTTTTCAGAATCCGTTTCCCTCTGTACTGAGGTGTAGAGGGAACGTGAAATAACAGGGACACTTTCTGTACTGTCTGTGCAATTTTTAAAGCCATTAGGGATGAATTTTCATCTCATTGAGGAAGTTGTAGCAGCTCTCTGGTCATCTGTGATGAGAAGCTAAACATAAGGCAACATTAGTTGCCTTAATTACTGTTTCCTCTGCATGCGACTTATCTTGGAGTTTTCTTCTAACGTGATTAGTGTGGTTTGACTAAATCCCCAGTGAAGCCTTAAAGATGAATGTGTGAGCTGATTTCTTCTTGTTCTTTTGTAGGTGATGGATGTGGACACACTGTTCTGGGCCCTGAAAGTGGAACTCTTGCTTCCATAAACTACCCACGGACATCTCCCAACAGCACAGTTTGTGAATGGGAAATTCGGGTAAAGCCTGGGCAGCGAGTTCAGCTCAAATTCGGCGATTTTGATATTGATGACTCAGATTCTTGTCATTCCAGTTACCTAAGAGTTCACAATGGAATTGGCCCCAACAGGACAGAGATAGGTAGGAGCTTTTATAATTGATATTTGAGAACTGTGTCTTGTCTAAAACTTGGATATAACTTTTGTTACTTTTTGACAAAAACTAGATGCTAAATGCAACATAGATCCTATAATAATCTTTGATTCTTAAGATTATCAAAGGAAACCCCTTGGTTATGTGGGTTTTTTTTCTCAGACATTTCCCGATAGCTTGCAAAGTTCTTGTAAGCACTGAAGAGGAAATTGTAGAACTATAAGGAGTGTGTATATATATATATATATATATATATATATATATATATATATTTGTATCTTACCTGAAATACCTTTCCTGTTATATGGATTCGCTCTGATTTGAGCTGTTTGTCTTGGTGGTATTAAAGGATGTCCAGCTTCAAAAGTCGTGTAGTTCAAATACCCTCCATGTTTAGATAATATTCATAGTTTAATCTTTGCTCTCTTCAGGAGAACAAATTCAATTTCATGACTAGAAGTCTGTGTTGTTTTTTTTGAAATAGCAGTGTGATGTTATAATCTGTGCCAAAGTATATGTAGGGTGTTAAGACCCTTGTAGTTACTTGGCATAAAACTCAAAATGAATTGTCATTCTTTCTTCTCTAATATTAATTGTTATTATGCAGATTAATTTTATTTTCTTACCTAAAACTTTAATTTGGAGAGAGAGAAAGGGAGATTTACCACACTAAGGTTGTTTTTTTGCAACTCAAATACCTATCCCACTAAATAGAGTTTTTTTATAAAGAGACTAGTGGAGTGTTAGCTTTGTTAACCCTCTTTTCCAACTGCTACCCAGGTAAGAGTGTGTGAAAATAAGTATGTGCTTGGCGCTGTTGAGCCAGGCTTAGTCTAAAATAGGAAACACTGAATACCTTAAATGGCAAGGAACATCAAGTTCTGATAAGTCTATTACTCACTTTTACAAGTGACTTAATGGGTTCGAGTAAATTTTCTACTTCATTTGTTTCTCTTGACTTTCAACTGTTCCCAGCTGGGGTAGCAGCACAGTATGTTGAGCAAACGTGTGTGTTGTTCTGCTCTTAATAAATGAAATCACAGAACAAACAGTGATATTAACAGTGGCAGGTACAGATGATGCAGGTTCTTGAATGTTCATGTTTAAAGCAACACACACTGGAGAGATTAAACAGTGACCTCAATTTCCTTAGAAGAAATCTGGATTTATCCTAAGTTTTTCCATTCAAGACTCCTGACATGCTCTAGTATTAAAATACTTGTATTACAGAAAGTCCGAAATGCAATCATACCTATTTTAATCTGAAATTACTTAAAAATTGATTAGATTAAAAAATAAATTGTTAGTGGATTACTTAGTTGATAAAGAGAAGGTTCCTAATAAAGCTTTTAAGGGCTAGTGCTTATTCCAAACCTCTTGAATATTTATCAAGAACTCAAATGAAGATTCAAATAGTTGCTGTTAAGTTTGTCTCTAATGTGAGATTTAGAGGTGTTTTTTATAAAATTTCATTACAGCACAATCACTGTACATCTGCAGTCACAGTGTACTTCAGACACAGGAGTTCCCTCTCCTGCTGTGATGGTGCTGTACACAAACACTGGGGTTCTTCAATGCATAAGTACAGAAAAAATAGTAATATTACATCTTCTGCACATACAGTTGACAGAGGCGTCATTGCAGTCGTGTTTTGTTCATTTCTAGTGCCTACTTTTTAAAAAGATTGCTAAAAATCTGGCAAGAGGCCAGGGAAGAGTTAGAAAAATGATTTATAGTCTCAAAACTGTCTTGCGTGAATCATAAGGTGCATCAGTCTACAGTTTGTCAAAGGCTGTATGTCCATGGTGCAAGCAACACTGGGTAGTTTATCCAAGCTAGATTTAGGTGTCTTGCACTGTGTATTTGCCTGAAGAAGGGGATAAATGGTGTTTTGAGGACAGTCTGACCTACAGTGAGAGAAATCTCATGCTGGTCAGTCATGTAACAAGATCCAGTGGCTGAAAACAAAACTTATGGAATGATAAGCAAATGGAATGATAAGCTGAAACATATGGAGGGTCATTTACTGCTGGTGATTATCCACTTTGATTATCCACTGCAGAATCTTAAATAGGGTTATAGATGACTTTTACTATATAGAATGATCAAGGGAGCCTATAGAACGGAAGATTTTTTTTTTAACAGGTTAATGAACTGATCAGTATCTTTATTAAATTTTCTAGTTAGTAGGACTGAAGAATTCCATATTGACCTGAGTCTGTTTAGCAGCCATTCATCCAGTAATGTTATTTAATAGCAATTCTAAAACTTCATGGGGCAAATATTGTCAACATCTGTGGATTCCAGCATCTTAATTTGAATTGTGTTATTTTCGTTCACTTTGTATGGCAAGAGAAGTATCCAGATACAGAACCTGTATATGTTTTTTAGATGCAGCAAAACAGAAGGTGCACCAACTAGCAGTTTATATTAACGGTGCTCACGTATGCTTGTATGTTACTACTGAAACGTAGTGAATCATGCCTGTTGTTATCCAAAACTGAGAAAAGTACTTGACAGAAACCATGGAAAAGTTGACAAGGAAGAAGTGCCCCAGCAACTGAGGGAAGATGAAGGCTATTTTCTCATTTGCCTTCTCATTTGCTTCTGTAGATGCTTCTCATTGCCCTAACTTGATCCTTTTTCTTGACATCTTCTTTGAAGTACTGACTGTGAAGGTTATGTATGATTAGAGGTGAATGGCATAAGGTCACATTTATCTGCAAGTGTTAAGAGACTCTCACCTGTTGACAGTGACAAAATAAATGTGTTACCCATAGTCTGCCATTAAATGGACACTAACAACCTTATTTAGTGTCATGTACGTGTGTTTGTTTTTGAATATACACTGGAAATAATGTGAGCTTACACTGCAAGTAAAATAAGGTGCTGCAAGTGAAATAAGATGCTTATTACCTATGTTGGTTTGGGTCAATCTTTGTTCTCCTTCTCTCCATAGGAAAATACTGTGGGTTTGACTTTCAAATGGATGGTTTAATTACTTCAAAAAGTAACGAGGTCACAGTACAGTTCATGAGCGGGATTCACGCTTCTGGACGTGGATTTCTTGCAGCTTATTCAACCACTGACAAATCAGGTATTTATAATTATTTGGTAATTTTTCTTTGTTGGCAAAATTAGAGCTGTCTAGTAAAAACACAGAACTAATTTATTTATTCCCACATTCCCACAAATTAACTTGTAAACATTTAATACACTCTTGCTGTTACTTCTGTGTAGGACATTGGTCTGCCAGTTACTTAAAAGTTGCTGTAGTTTTAAAGAGATGGTATCATAGCTTGCCTTGAATAGCAGAGGAAGAATGTCAGTTGTCTGTTACGAATGAAAGAACTCCTTCATATTAAGGATAAAATGCATTTTTTCAGCTAGTAGTCAAGGTGGCAGATAACTATAAAGTTTTCCTATCAAACGGTGTATATTTTATACAGACTAACCTCATGGAAAATTTTATTTCAGTAGCAGTATCCTATACTCCCTCAGCTCTTTAATTGCATAATCTGCTGGCTACCTTTTAGTCTTTTTGCCATTTCTTGGTTTTTTGCCACGTTTTTGGTTACTCTAACCTTCTGAAAGAGGTTGCTGTATTTGTTTTGCATCTCCTTCCACTCATTGTAAAGGTGAGTGACCTACGTGGTCCATGAGGAAATGAAGGATTACAAGCAACTGCTTCAGCAGGCAAAAGGCTTGAAAAAGCCCTCTCTGGAAATAATTCTAAAAATAGCAGATAAAGACTTTCAGTTTTTAATTTTGTGGAGATTTTGTTACTTTCCTCTCTATATGTTGGACTGTATGTGCTGAGCCACATCAGACACAAACATGAAATTTGAAGTATCTGTCATGGATGCCAATAACATGGCACTATTTGTTCCTTGTACTGCTTAGGTTCAGCACTGCAGAAGTGTTAAATGCTGAAAACACAGGCCTCTTTAGGTACAATATTAATTTAATTTTGTGAAAAGAGCATATGTTTGTGTCTCTGAATTATCTTGGGTTCTCTGAAGTGTGGCTATAAATTAAAATTAAGCTGTACAGGAGACGAATTTTTGTAATATGTCTTATGTCACATTTTCAGTAGATTTTCCAGTTACTTAGACAAATTAGCAAGGTTCTACTGTAATACAAAATCTGTTGAAAGAAATTTAGTCGGAACATGGTTTCTTCATTCTGAGACTTTTGGTGAAGCCTCAGGGCTCAAATGTTTATTTTCATGCACTTTAAAAAGCATACTCAAACTTACTGTCTTTATTATCCTCTTGACCTGACATTTTTTCTTTCCAGACTTAATTACCTGTTTAGACAATGCAAGTCACTTTTCCGAACCAGAATTCAAGTAAGACTGATTTTTACCTGTTTCCACCCAATCTCTTTAATAAAGTAATTTTAGTGCTTCTATTTCACTGTTACTTATATCTGACTGCAGCTTGAAAATTGACCATCCAGAGAACTTGAGAAACAATTAGGGTTAGAGCTGAGTAATTTTAACATTTGCACTCCTGCTTCCTCCCTCTCTCCCGTTTTTGTTATTTACATGCAGTATACAGTAGAACCTCGTTAATTTGCACTAACACATAGGAGCTAACATCTAATTCCCATAGAAAGAATATTACAGCAGGTGTACACCTTAAATACTGAAATTCATATTATGGTTACCTAAGGAGCACTAAATGATGAAATGTGTTGAAAATTACAAACCCATTTCACAGTTTGGTGTGCATTAATGAGGTTCTGTGGAGATACGGAATGCTGTACCTTCTGATGGGGGAAGCATTTGTTATTTCCCTGTTTTCTCCTTCTCCATTTCCATCTACAGGACAATGTTTAAAGCTGCAGAGTATTGTGAAGTACCTAAACTTACTTTTTGGAGAACATAAGCCATGGCATCGTGAAACATTTTGAAGTGCAATTTTTGCATTTCTCTTCCATTTTCCCAAGTTCCAGAATAGGGCTCTAATAGGTTCTGACCTTACCATGTGCCAAAGTCTGAATCTCACTGTTTTCATGGAACCTGCAATATTGCTTCGATGTTGTTGAACTGTGGTGAAAATGTTAACAAGTTTACTCCAGTTCACTTTTGCAGATGTGATAATTTTCATGTTTGCAGTATGAAATGGCCCTGGAACATGAACATGGGCTGGCTCCAGCGGTGCAAGTGTCTTGCCTCTTGCTTTTCACTCAATTAGGATATATCCTTACATAGGGATATATGAATAACAGTGTATTGTAGATCAAATCGTAGTTACTATTTTGTAACATTAAAAGAGTTGTAAGTGTATGTATATCTTGACTTGATATTTTGTTCACTTCCAGTAAGTATTGTCCAGCTGGATGTGTGATCCCTTTTGCTGATATTTCAGGCACTATTCCCCATGGATACCGAGATGTAAGTAAAAATAGTGTGGGCTCAGGTGAATTTTGGTAAAACACACAATGCACAATACAAGTCAGCTATAGTTGTTCATGTTAGTCCTGCTTCCTGGATGCTGGAATTTATACCTCCTAAGGTGAACAACATGGTATTCAGGTTTTGGCACTGCTGCTAAATGACAGGTGCTTCAGATGCTGCCCCCTCCAAGAAGTGAAATAGTGCAGTAGAGTCTCAAAACATTTTCGTAAGGACTGCAGAGAAAGGTGGATCAATCAAAATATTGTTTTCTATTTCCTGTTTTGTTTTTGTTGGCTTTCTCACTTTGGGAAATTCAGATTTATAATGAAAGAACCAGTGAATGATGTCCTCCTGGTTTTTGACAATGTAATGTCTCTCACAGCAGGGTCTCAGTGGTTATATTAATTTTTTATTACAACTGGACAGATGAAATACTGTTTATGCTCAGCACCTATAAAATGATTTGCAAAGTTAATACTCTAAGATTAGTATTTCTGTAAAATGGAAATTAAATCTTCAATAATGTACTATTTACTTAAAACACTACAAAACCATGCATAGTGTTTTTCTAATGTAAGATTTTGCAGCTGAATTAACAAACTTGCCATAGGACTGGAGGGTGTTTCCTTTGTTTGTTTTTAGATTATTATAATTTTGCTAGCAATCTAGTAAAAATTACATGAAATCTCTGTTTTTTAAAAAAATACTCCTTTAATAAGCCATTAGATCTAGCACAAAGACAATTTAAAAATGTTAGCATTCAAATATTTTAATATTAAATATGAACCTAAAGTGTGCCTGATTGATTTTCTTTTCTCAAGTATGTGTAAATCCTTAAACAATCACCCACATGTAAAAATGTCACCACGAGATAACTGTTATATGTTCTGGTCCACAGTGAGTCTTCACTAAATGGCTGTGAGGTAATTTTTGTAGCTGGTAACAAGGTGAAGTTGATTCTCTGCTTAACATATTTGCAGCATTCGTAGGAGTCCTGCTTGTTGGGAGGTTTTTTTGCCAAAATCTGGAAAAATTGTTTTCTATGGACGAAAAAGGAAACTTTCAGAAATAAATGCCCTATGACTTTCTTTTGTCACTTTTCTCACTTTATTCCACTGAATATAAAAGCAGAGAATTTCCCAGAAGTCAAGTTGTGTGCGAAGAAATCAAATTGTCCAGCCCACTGTTGTTGGGCCAAGTTTCAGGTAGAGGTTTCTCATGCATCTCTTTCAAATGTACAGCAACTGCTTGTTGCTTTAAAAAATACTCTAAATCTTGATTCTTTGCTGTGTCACCCTATTGTGGACAGTCCTTGAGAGCTTGGAGCTCATTGCTGACATCTTCTGGTGGGCACAGAGGAGAGAGCTGCATCTACTGCAGAATCCCATGTTCATACTTCCAATGGAAAGGGGAGCTGTGTCCATCCCAGTCTTGCTGGATGTGAGGGGCTGCAGAATTGCAACATGTCTCTCATATCCCTGTGCTGCACATTGCAGGGACACCTGAGAATAGCTCTGTCTGTGCCTGTTGCACTGTGTGTAGCCAGTAATCCTCCAGAAATCTTGGTGCACGTGGTGGATGGTGCAAAGCCACAGCTGCTAAGCTCTTTTTGGAACTGGACTCTCTCTCTCTTCTCCTGAACACTAGAGTATTTCTTGGTCAAGCCCCTTTGGCTGGAAGGATTTGCTTCCCAGCTTGGCTAGTTTTGATCCAGGAGACAGAGGCATGTTTCTCTGCTCACTCTGTGCAGTGCCTGAAGGACTGATGTGATGAGTCCTGCTCACTTGGCACAGCCAGCCTGCAAGCCAGGGAGGTGTCACTGTGACATTTCTTAGTAGATCCAGTCATCCAGGGAGAGAAGGCAAGAACATGATGTCCTGCAAAAACACTTTGTGTAACAGATATCCACTGACCTGTACAGTGTAGGTAATTGACTTCTTTAGGATGAGTTGTATTCATGTATTACTGTGGGTTTATATGGATCAGTGTCCTGGATAACCATCCAGGTTTTAAACCATGTTTAACCATGAGTTAAACTAAAAAATACAGCCCTTGGCAAAAAGCTACAAAACCTGCAGTGCATCACTCCTTAATTGTGAGAAAATAAACAAACAAACTTTCAATGTGCTTCCTATTAAAAGATTTTCTATGTGTTTATGTCTTCAATTTCTATTGTCTAACATAATTTATTGTAGGCTGAAAGTCTGGCTGTCTGGCTTTTTCAGACTGTTTCACATTGGTGTTGGTTTGAGAGTATTTAGTTACAGGAGTTACTTACCAAATACATCTGGGCAAGGACCCAGTGAAATTTAGGACCTTCTTTTTGTTCTTATAAATTTCATAATGAACTGTAGATGAGTCTGTTATTTCTAAATAAATTAGAACAGTATATTAATGTAATAATAACAAAGGCTATAACTGGATAGTGTAGCATTTACAATATCTGGTGTGGTATTTAATTTATTTACTTTGTAGTATTAAATTTTTCTTTCCCCCCTCTTCAAGTCGTCATCACTTTGTATGGCTGGTGTTCACGCAGGCGTTGTGTCAAATACTCTGGGTGGCCAAATTAACGTTGTGATCAGCAAGGGCATTCCCTACTATGAAGGCTCCTTGGCTAACAACGTCACCTCAAAGGTGTAAGTGTACTTCCTGTGTTTTCCTTATCTTTGGCACCTTAGATCTTGGTCGTGTCTCACTGAGGGATTAATTTCAGCTAGTGAAGCTACATGTTCCCCTGACAGGTTCTCTTCTCTAAGGTTCTCACAGTGCACTTTTGCTGCAGTGTAATTGTTTACTAGATATTTTTAACCTGTAAAGATTAATTTTCCAAATTCTGTGAGGATTTTTTACCTGCTTGACTGTAAATTCCTAATGGTCTGTGGAAAAATAGTAATGTAATGGCAGCTTTTTAGTTACAGGGAAAAGAGTGTAGCTTGTCGTTGTATCCCAGAAGTCCCAGGAATGAAAGTAGTCAAAGGAAATTGATTCTTGTTGTTATGATTAGCTTAATATGTAAGGGAGCATTTTAATGAAGATGTGCCTTTTGCCTGGTATGTTTGTTTGAAAGCCTCCAACTCCGTATCTCTGGACTAGCTTTCAGTTGAAAAGGTGTTTGTACTGAAAGCGCTGCAACTTGGTGGCAGAAAGTGTTGCTTTAATCACTAAGTGTTTGTTCAGGCATATGTGCATAGGTTTCACTGGCAAGCAGTCAGACAGGAAAAATAAATTGAAGACAGTTTGTTTTAGTTTACCTGAGTACTGCAAAACATCTTTTGTTCTCTGCAGGGGACCTTTATCTACAAGTCTCTTCACCTTTAAGACAAGTGGTAAGTGTTATCACATGTATTACTTGTTATTACTTTGATGCAAATGTTGTGAGTAGGAATAAGTGTACAGGTATATTATTTCTTAATTTTTGTTCTAGTTTGTGAGACTTATTTTACTGCATTCTTCAGTAATGTATATTTTTGAATTGTTTTACTGTCTCAATTTGATGATTAATCCTCACTACATTTATAGGTCAGCCTTGCTTATCTGCAGACAGAGATTCTTTCAAGTTACGTTCCTCTATTGTAGTCTAATTTAAAGTGACTTGACTCTCATACTTTAAACAGACTACTAAAGGAGAGCTGGGCATTAAGAGTTGCTCTTTATTTGTAACAACTGTGCATTCTGGTTTTCTTCCAGGTGTACTCCTTACACTTTCCTGGTTGTCTGTTAAGAAAGCTAGAAGAAATCTCAAAATGATTCCTCACCTTTCTCTTCCTTGTTTTACTTTTTTCCCCTCCCCTTTCCTTGCAGCTGAATGCTGTGTGGTAAATTACTGTCTCTCTTGCTCTGGAAGGGCATGTTGGGCCTTGCTCTGTGTCTAAGATATGTCCCTTCTTGGCTTTTATGTTTTGTTTTGTCCATGTGTGCCAGGTTGATGATTTTTATCACAAGTGTTGCCCTTTTTGAAGCTTTACTGCTTTGTGAGTTTTTACCTTCTGTCTTACCTGTTTTTCAAATAGATTAGCTGCAGTTTTCTAAATGGAAGCTAGTTTTTCTGTAGGTCGCTTTGAATGCTGTCTTTGAGTGGATGTTGGCAGTACTGTGAAGACAGTGGCCTTTCCTCAGTGTCTTTAACTGTTTTAATAACAATATAAAATCCATAAAACCATCATGTCTGTTTTTCATAATGATAAAGTTAAAAAAAAGGGAGGGGGGACCATGCACATACTCTTCAAAAGTAAACAAATATATTTCCTAATATAAATAAAAGGGATGCAGAATGGGGATATAAAGACAGGAATCTGATGGGCAGAGGTGTTTGGAGATGGAAATGTAAACAAACAGACAAAAATTAGAAAATATAATGTACCTAAAAGTAAAATAATTTCTCTCCCAGACCCTCTGCAAGAGCTGAAAGAAGGAATTGCATGTCTGGTGTCCTTATGCATGAAGAATATTAAACACAGTGATCTGGGTGGGGTTTGCTGGTGTCTCTTTGCTGGTCTTTCAAAATGTGATTTGATAGTGTGTATGAAAGTAATTAATGGCCTGGAAATATGAAGAGATAGGACAAAATGCTGATCTAGATCTCTGGATTTCAGTGACACGTGAGAAATTATTGAATAAACTAGAGACAAGATGCAGGTCTAGATTAAAATCTCTGTAGTTAAGTGACCTAGGAATTTGCTGAAGGCAAAAGAAAACTCCTGTAGTATGCTCAAATGAGGTTTATCGGACTGTGCTGAAGGTCTTACTCTGTTTCTTTTGTAGTAGTTGGTTTCATTTGATACGAAGTAGAAGAGTGTGTTATTAATGCCAGAGGTGTGGTCTGTGCAGAGAAAGGTGAAATTATTTGTACAGGAAGACCTGGCTGACTTTGAGGCTTGAGTGATAGAAATTAACTGAAGAATCACAGAGCAAAAGGTAGAATGTCAGATGCTTACAGACTGAGGCATTTTTTTGCTTCAAACTGGCAACATGTTAAATGGAAACAAGAGATGAGGGAAAGGATTCTGTTAGTAAAGTCCTAACGTGATCCTGGGCTGTGGCAGGTGAAGTATGTCAAGTAGAGACAATAAACTATTAATGCCATCTCACAGGAGATGGGCAAGGCCTTCCCTGGAATCCAGTCACACGTGGGCTCCCTTCAAGGATGAGTGCCCAACCTTGGTGCAGAGAGGGTGTGCTCACAGGAGAAGGGAAACTAGGCTGGGTTGTTCAGCCTGCCTAACTGAAGGGAAAGATTGCTCTCTGCTGCTGTTTCTGGGAAGTACACGTGAGAGGAGAAAACTGTTGGCACTACAGAATAAGATTTAGCAAACAGCAAATGGATATCAACTAGCCACAAGGAGATTTAGCCCTGAATTTAGGAGATGTTTGTTAGCCATCAGCAGAATGCAACATGGGAAGAAACTCATAGTAAGAATGGTGACCAAAAAAATGCAGCTAATTTCAGGGATGCATTTGAGCTCAAGACCAGGATTGTGACATGACTTCCTACATGCTTTGCTGTTCAAATTAAATTGTCATACTGAGGTGGGTTTAAAAAACAAGAAGTTATATAGACACAAAAAGGAACAAATGATCAAGTAGTCTGTTTCCCGTTCCTGCATCAACCATCTTAGACCGTGACAGTTCCCCCAAAGCTTCTCATGTAGTGCTCTGTGTGAGTGGTGACTAAGATATCCATGTTACTCTTGGAGCAGGCATAAATCATGGCAATCTCATTACTATGAAGTTGGGTTCCAATATCACTGTTAGAAAGCAGAAGACAGTGTGTTTTGTTGATAGTGTCGTTATGGAATAAATTTAGATGGCACTTTAATATTTGTACATAAAGTCTTAAAATCCAAGCAGAGTAGCTTCAGTTTTCATTTTCAGTCCTCACCTTTTCTGTTGTTCAGGTTGTTATGGGACACTGGGGATGGAATCTGGGGTAATTCCTGATTCCCAGATCACTTCATCGTCTGTTCTTGAGTGGCCTAACCAAACAGGACAAGTAAACATTTGGAAACCTGAAAATGCCAGACTAAAAAGGGTTGGTCCTCCTTGGGCTGCTCTTATCAGTGATGAACATCAGTGGTTGCAGATTGATTTGAATAAAGAAAAGAAAATAACAGGTAAGTGAATCTGATGTGATTTTTCAGCAGCATTCAAAAAGTTTGGTTACTGACATCCTTTTTTCCAGTGCTATGTCTTAGATAAAGTCCAGGAGACACTTAATTACCAATACAGCAAATTTGGAGGAGCCTGGAGCTGAAGAGGTATAGTTTCATAGTAGAAGACAGCTCTTTCATCAGAATTTGTTGAAGTTTTTCCTGTGGTTTTATTGGATCCTTGATGCTTCTCTTAGCCTGCTAATTGTCTGTTTTGAGGTGCAAATCAAAATCTGGTCAGCTCAATCCACTGGTACCTCCGATGCACATATACTGACTTAGGTTTCTAGATTTTCCCTAGTCCCTGTAAGGGCCATAGTGAATCCAACAGTAGAGACAAGAGTAGTTGCAGTGCAGTGTGAGATAAGCAGCAGGCAGAGTAAACCAGTTGGTAGCCTCCCTTTCACCTCCTTGCCTCAAGTGGAACTTGGGTTGGGAGTTGGGGATGGCGAACCCTGAGCAGTCTGTGCCTTACTTCAGCAAACAGGCTTTGCTCCTTCACAAAAATTTTATTTGGTGAGACAGCTGGAGGTGCTGTTTCCCAGCCTGCTGTGGATGGTTTGCTTCACGTTGTGGGAGTTGAGGTCGCCTGCTTACGGTTACTGGTTCCCGTTGATTGCAGCCTTGCCCATTCCGAGTAGTGAAGCATCGGCATTTTGGGTTTAACCTCTGGTGTGGCAGTGCAGCTGTTGTATCTTTGGTATTGATGTTAGTGTTTTCTGTTTTGTTTTAATTGTGGAATTCATTGTTCATAATGGGCATGTTTGTCATCTGATTTAAATAAAAAATAAATTTGTTCTAGGTATAGTGTTTAGTAGATAGAATCCTGGGCTTTAAGGCTATTGTGAAACGTTCACCTTTGATTGGTTTGGGTTTGTCTCTTTCAAATGCATGAATGGGTCCCTGTAACCTCAGCTGCACACCCTGCTATCAGCAGTTTGGCTTCCTGTCATTAAACAACTCTAGTTTACCAGCAGCCTTTGTTATTATCTCCCTAGGGACTGTTTGGATGTTATGTGACTCCTCTAAATCATCCTGTGCTAATAAGCTTTTACAAAACAGCTTTCCTGTGTGAGTTGTTCTGCAGCATGGAAGCATCATGAAGAACTGTAGGAATCTACAGTTCTTTGAGTGGTGCTTTTATAGATTGGCAGTACAAGAGCAGGGAAGAGCAGTGCTGTCTCAGCAGCTGGAGACAGGAGCGGGCTGTGGTCAAATAAATGAGTCATTTCCATCAAGAAATGAGGGGAAAAGTGCTTAGTAAGGTTATATCATGAAAATTAAAATACAAAAGTAAGTAAAATGATTATTAAGTTGCAGTCACTGTAGAAGTTTCAGACTCTGGCACCTTGGAGTTGGATAAACTTCTTGAAATAAACTGGACCAGTGAAGACTCCAGACTATCTTAACTCTGGATTCAAAAGCTGATCTGTAAATTTTTACAAACTGGTAGTGGGTTTTTTTGTCTTAACTGGACACCTTCTTTTTCACAGGCATTATAACTACTGGATCAACTTTAGCAGAGTACTACTATTATGTCTCAGCCTACAGAATTTTATACAGTGATGATGCACAGAAGTGGACAGTGTACAGAGAACCTGGCATGGATAAAGATAAGGTAAAAATACCATGCACTTTCTAGGTATGTTTTATGGAAATTTCACAATTGTAAATACAACTAATATTGGTAAGGTGAGAAAACATGAAGTATTCAAGAAAAAGGAAAAAAAAATTAAAATCCAGTGTATTTTGTGAGTTTAGATTGCCCTCTTCTGGCTGTAAAATAAAATCTCAGCTGTTGAGCTGCTAGAATTTAGGCTTCAGGGTTAGTTTGATAATTTTCCTAGGAAACCTTTGCAGCTGTTGCCTTGTAATTTGAGCATTTCATTCCTCTTGAACGTTCATGAAATTAAACAAATTGTGGAACTTGAAACTACAGGCAATACATCTTTCTTTGCACTCTTTGGGTCATTAGGTTCAGTGCATGAAGAACCAGACATACCCCGGGAGTGTCAGCTGTGGTTAAATGACAGAAAAAATGGCTCAGTATTGTTCAAAATAACAGATTTGTCCTCTGCCATCACCTCATTTGATTCCAACTCAGCATATTCTGTGATTCTGTGATAGAGCCTTGCTTTTGGATGCATATGGTTGCAGGCTTCTCCCTTTGATTGAGCCTTCTGTAATTGCACACCAGAACGATTGGGAGGTGCTATTCGCTGTTTTTTCAAAGATGTTTGAAATTCCTAATGTTTTTCAGGGGGCTAGAAGCTTTTCCAAGGCTTTCCTGTAGTCCTCTTTGCAAATAGCTTCTAGAGATCTGGCAGTACTCAAGAAAAACTTCTCCTGAACTTTTTGTATATGAAAAAAAGTAAAATGCTTGAAAAATGCTTGAATTGGGGAAATGACAAATGAGAGTTGCAGTGTTGGAAAATTTTGTTTGACAGCACAGAGGGAAAGGGAGAGAGTTTGATAATAAATGGAATATGAAAATGATTTCTCATCCAAAAACTTGTACTGTATTAAGCTTAGGCCAATTTTTTTTTTTTGTGCAAAAATTAGAGTAACAAAAATACAGAGCTGCAGGTAAAGTTAAGTTACTCTCATAACACTGGACATCAAATCTTGGCTAAAAAAAGCCTGGAGTAAAGAACGACTTTACTGTTAATCTTTCTTGAAGGTAATAGTCATTACCAATTCTTGTCTTTGCTGTTACTTGCTCAGCCTCAGAAACCTGATGTGAGACTTAACTTTCAGTGTTGGACATCTGTGTCCTTAATCTGTAACTTCTGCATGTGTTGCTTGGGCAGCCAGATGCAGCTTGTACTTTCTTTTAGTAATGGGCACTGGCAGGCACAGCACTAACAAGGACAGTTACAGCAGTTTGGGCTGGGCACATCCCCTCAAGAATTCACCTCTCTATTTTGCTTCTCATTTGCATCTTTACCAAAACAAGAGATTCTTTGGTGAGGTCTGTAGCTACAAGCCTGTCAGCTTAAAAAAAAAAAAATGGCCCTTGTTTAGGGGAAAAGTGGCTTTAAATTGGAACACAGTCTTCTGTGGACACATGGGCTGTGACTACTTTGTATTATTCATTTATTTCCAAAATAACACCATAAACTTATCCCTGCATTTAATCTGTCTTCATTTGTTGCTATTAAATATATTTAAGAACAATAAGCTTAAATTCAGAGCAGGACAGATATCAGTGAGAGCCATGTGCTTGTCCACTTGCACTGCAGGGAAGAACAGAGACTACACCCTCGAGGGAAATACCTTGTGTTTGCCAACCTGGATTTTTAGTATGGTGAATGGGTTAGCAGTTTTAGTCTGTTAGTGTCACGTGGATACATAGAAACAAAAATGCTGGTTACTAATTTAAGATGTAGAAAAAATAGTGCACTCAAACATGAAGTACTGCATTTAAATTACTGAGTGATTTATTTTTCCATGGCTAACTAAATTGACTCATGTATCTGTTTGGTCAGTCAGTGCTTTCAAACATGAAGACAGTCAGTGCCTATGTAGAGAGAAACCAAAATACTTACATCTAAGTAGTAGTAATGGGGTTTGGGTGTCTTTTGAGAGTGGAGACATGTTATCTACATCAGGGAGCTAAGGAGTGAGTCCCTTGAAGGTCCCTGGGATCATTAGGGTTTGTTTTTTTGTCTTTTGAATGGATATTTTCCTGGAATAATTGTTTTATTTCAAAACTTTAGGGATATTCTAGTTATTTTGTTACAAAAACTTAAACACAGGAGTGCGATACAAAAGTTTTGTGTGTGGAGGTTGAAACAACAGCAATTTGCATTGATCAGAAATGCTCTAAAAGCTCTTGACTGCTCCATTTTATGCAGATACATCAGCTGTTATACAGTGAGCACTTGCCCCTAAGAATGGTAGGGTGCTTTATTGTTTACCAAGTGGTGTGAGTGAGCAGACAACTCCCTGTAATAGTTGTTTTTTCAGGCAAGCGCCAAAATTCTGTTTTGCATTCTGTCCAGTCTGATTTGCAGTATGTGTATCAGTGCTTTAAAAACAAAGAACTCATTTACTGTCACCTCTGTGGTGACCTGTGTTGCAGCAGCACCACCACAGAGCTGCATGTGCAAAGCCAAAGCCCAACTGCTGTGCACTAACATGGGGAGACAGCTCACTTCCTACCCAAAGACATGGCACCAAACCAGTCCTCTTAAAGGAGAGGCAGGGTTGGAATACTGGGACAAACTGCTCTATTGTTTTAAGCAGCTCCAAGGGTGCAAAACCTGTAGTTTACTGTGAGTTTGTTAGTGTGTTTATACTGCATTGTGCAGTGACTGAGTTATCTCTCACTGGTTTTAAATTTCAACCAGACAGACCCTTTCTGTATTTGCACATTTTAATGAGTTCTTTGTGTGCGAGGATGGGCAGTGAAGGACCAGCTTGAGCTCATCCTTCACTCAAAGTCTGTGCCCTTCTCTTCCAGAACCCCATGGCTCAGTATGAGACTGAGGAGAGCTTTCTCATTCTGAACCTGCATCCTTTACTTTACTTGTGGTTCGGCACTTGTAGACAGCAGCCACGAGAGGACAGTGTGGTTACATACTTGATTGTGCCTTCTAATTCTTTCTCACAAATGCCAGCCCCAGACAGACTGTGCTTAACTGTTAGGCTGTGTGAAGACACTGCTTAATTGCTGCTTGCACGGTGTCACAACTCCTTGCTATATACATATATTTGAAGAGTAAGTGCAAAATACCAAAGAGGACCAAGTTAGAATTACTCAGTGCTGTAAACATGTGAGATGTCTTTAACAGCAGGCACTGCCTGGGGAGCATCAGTAGGATATTACATGGTACCTTTACTCTGAACTAGGTAACTGCATGCATGTACACGTGCCTTTTTTGGTTTATTTAGTTCCATATGCAATGGGGCCAAGTGAGTGGAGATGTGCAGGCAGCAGCGCTGTTCTGGGGTGAATTTTCAGGATCCTGCACTGCTTATTTTTCCTAAATAAACCATCGAAAATGGTTGTAGTTACTTAGTTGTTATTGCATTTGTATAATAATAATGTTTCTCTCTCTCTCTCTTTTTTTTTCTTTTCTAGGTATTTCAAGGGAATACTGAATTGTACCAGGAAGTTCGCAATAATTTCATTCCGCCTATTATTGCACGCTTTTTTAGGATTAACCCCTTAAAATGGCACCAGAAAATTGCAATGAAAGTAGAACTGCTAGGATGTCAGTTTAGCATAGGTAAGGCAACTGAAAACTTTCCTTGTGCAAGACAAGCAGTGAAATTATTAAGGTTAAAGGTTACATTGTAGGTATATTTTCAATGAGAAAAAAGTCCTTTCTGGCTGCATAATCCTTCTGTAACCAATACTTCTGAATTTCTCCAGAAGTTATTACACTTAACTGGAAAATACCGATTTTAGGTGTACACAAGTTGATTTCGAAAATGAGTGTTTCAAAAGACACCAGTCACTTGCTTCCCATGTTACTGACTCATGGGGAGTTCTCCTTATATAACGTGAACAAAAGCTTTATAGCAAACTGTTTTAGCTGTCTTCTCCTGAAAAGGAGACATGGAAAACTAGCATTTCAAAAAAAACCTTTTCTTATAAATTCTTTTCTTCTGAAGGTCGTGCTCCTAAAATCACCTTGCCACCACCACCACCACCACCTCAGAACAAGAATGATGAGAAGAATGCTGACTTCATTGATGACTTCATTCATTCAGTGAAGACTTCATTGCAGACAGATAAAACAACTTTCACACCTGAAATAAAGAACACTACAGTGACTCCAAGTGTAACCAAAGGTATCCACAGTAGAAGTGCTTGGGAACTCCTTATGGTGCTTTGGCATATATTAAGTCTGTTTTCTAAATTTAAATTTTCCCAACACTTAACATATTATAGCAAATTATCAATATTTACTTCTTAGTATTTACCAGTTATTAAATACACATATGATGAAAGATGTACAGTTGCATACTGCATGTAGAAACAAAACCAATCTTCCAAGTCAGATATATATGTATATACAATGTGTATTATATATCTGGATAACAGTTCTGTCTTCCAAAGCTTGTTCAAACTGACTTCAGCTTTTAATCCCTGAACAAGTTTTGTCAGAAGAAGTTGCAACTTGGACTTCTCTTCTGAATTAATCAAGTGTAACTGCTTTGTTATTGAATTGGATAGTTTCTTAGAACAGAATACTTTTGACATAGCAAATCTTTTATGGATCAGTCTTGTTGACATGGAAGTTGAAGAACATAATTTTGTTTATCAAAGAAAATGGTCAGAAAAGGGAGCAAGGTCACTGCAGACTGAGGCACTGCTAAAGTATCCTTTGGATTGCAGGGGACAGGATGGTCTCATGTCACACACAGACCCAGCACAGGCTAACTGTGATTAACTGTTAAGGTACTGTGGTATTTACTTTTTAAAGGAGTTCAAACTTAAGTGGTTACACTAATGGATTTTGTAAATAATAAAACATGTTCTAACAGAAAAATCTTATACTAAAGCAAATTGGTTGATTTTGATGAACAACCTTGTAAAAACACCAGCTGTGCATGTGTGTAGAAGAGCCAGATGTTAATTGAAATTTACACTGTGGGAGCATCCAGCAGGGTAACTTAGCTGGGGGAATCCGGTGTGATGGACACTACATGTGGAAACTGTGTGCTTTACCCAAGTAATTTTCATGATTTATGAGAAGCTCTTCTGTCTGACACCAGTTAATTTAATGGTTTTCAGATGTGGCATTGGCAGCAGTTCTGGTTCCAGTGCTGGTGATGGTCTTCACTACTCTGATTCTTATCTCAGTTTGTGCATGGCATTGGAGAAACCGGTAAGTGAATGAAAGTGCTTTAAATGAGTGTGGGAATGAAATGCTGCATGTGTCACTGTGGGGACTGTGTGGTCTGCACTTGTGGAAGGAATTGTGTTCTCTCTAAAAAAACATTCACTTGAATAGTAAGGACAGCAAAACCAGCTTTTTGTAATTGTTTTCATTAGAAGTGCTTTTACTAAGGCCTGGTTTCTTCAGTAGCAGCAGGCTGGTGATGGCAAGCCAGGTTACTGGTGCTTATACATTAAATTTGAGGACCAGTAACAGCCAAGGTGATAGTTGATGAGCATTAATTAATGCATCTTTTGATAAGCAGAGTAGCTAAAATACCCCTTTTTCTTGTTTGTTTGTTTTTTTTTTCACAGCAAGAAAAAAACTGAGGGCACATATGATCTACCTTACTGGGATCGTGCAGGTAACAAAAAGGTTTTATGAAATCCTTTACTCAGCATTCAGGAAGGTTGACTGGGTGAGAGTCATGTTGTCACCTCTGCCTCTTCAGTCTGCCAGAAAATATTAAAATACCTTGTAACTTTGGGGACACGCAAATACTGATAATCGAGTTATTTACCTGCTACTACAAAATGCGGGCTGTGGTGCAAAAATATTTCAAGTAGCTTAAAACACTATATATACTATAATATATATATATATATATATATATATATATATATATATATAAATGAAGTCTTGAGTGGTTTGTTTGTTTTTTAATCCATGTGAAGGATGGTGGAAAGGAATGAAACAGTTCCTCCCGACCAAATCAGCAGAACATGAAGAAACTCCTGTACGCTACAGCAGCAGTGAAATTAGTCACCTGAGACCAAGAGAAGTCCCAACAATGTTGCAAACAGAGTCTGCAGGTACATTTCACTGTTTTTGTGGGCCATGTAACATATATATCACATGCTAAAAAATGTCAGGGATTCGGCTACTTTTAGTTTTTTCCTGTTTTTTGGGGGGAACAGAGGAGAAATGAATAGTTCTCTGGGTAAGCACATTTCTTAAAATGCGGGCTTTTTGAGATCTTTGAGTATCATAAAAGTATGTTCTGACTTGATGTGCTGTAGATAAACACTTGCCTAAGTCAATGCAGTAATTGAAAATTTCTTTACTTGAACTTATTCTTAAACCCCAAGAACCCCAAGGGTTGAAGAACTGGTTATATTTTCATGCACTGGAAATAATGTCATCACAGTCTCTTTATGCACAAATCTGAAATGTGGCACATGGTTCCCTACACTCACAATCATCCTTGTGCTGTGGAAAAGCAGGAGTTACTGGTAATGGCACATGCCTTTTCCTGGTGGCCCAGGTATGAGAGGAAGATGACTGAGTGTTCCTTTGGCTCTGTGCTTACAAGCTGATGGCAGAGTTAGGCAGATATGCAGAATTACAGCTTCACTGCAGGCAGAACTGCTTTTCTCTTTTTGGCTGCTTGTCTGTTTTTACTCAGCAAGCCAGTTTTCTCACCTCCAGCTTTTGTAACTTGGATTATCTGTTGAGCTAAAACAGCTGACCACATGCAGGCTTCCTCCCTCAGAGAACAAACCCTCCACCCCAAAGACCATTGTTATTCAAAGCAAGGAAGGATAATTTCAATTAAATCTAATTTTGCAGGGAAGAACATTTCAATAAGCTTTGTTTTCAGGCAGATTTGCAGCATGGGAAGTTTCAGCTCACCAGGAAAGTACAAACCTGAGAAACGGGGATGTTGTGGCTATCCCAGTGGCTTTAACTATTGGGTGGAAAGGAATCCTTTTCCAAAGCGGTTGGCACTGGTGGACAGAGGCGGACCGCTGGTTTGATCTAGGATAATAATAATCTCTGTGAAATATTGACAAATTGTATTTAATGTGATGGTGCTGTAAAAACCATTCCACTAAGTATGGTTTTATTTTGTTTTGTTGGGGCTTGCAACACAGAATATGCTCAGCCCCTGGTAGGGGGAATTGTCGGCACACTTCATCAGAGATCAACCTTCAAACCAGAGGAAGGAAAAGAAGCAAGTTATGCTGATCTGGACCCTTACAATTCACCCATACAAGAAGTTTACCACGCCTACGCCGAACCACTGCCTATAACTGGACCAGAGTACGCAACTCCCATAATCATGGACATGTCCAGCCATCCCAGCACACCTCTTGGCATTCCTTCCATTTCCACCTTCAAAGCTGCAGGGAATCAAGCTCCTCCACTGGTTGGAGCTTGCAGTAAACTGTTATCTAGGACAGACAGTGCCTCATCAGCACAGGCACTGTACGACATACCAAAGGGGCAGCCGGGGCCGGGCAGCACCGACGAACTGGTGTACCAGGTACCGCAGAGCGTGGCCCATCCCACTGGGAGCAAGGATGAACTCAGTTAGCTCACGAGTAAGACAGAATGATGGCTTGTTTTTAAAAGCCAGTTCCATAAAGCTGACAGTTCCATTTTTTTTTTTTAATTCCATTGTTTTGATATTGTTAGTCTTAAATAATACAATGTTGAACCAAAAGATGTGGTATTGGAGGTCTGGGAAGACAGAAATTCTGCCTTTCCTAAAGCTGTACGTACAATTAACAGCTTGTCTCCTGCAAAACCGTGGACTTTTTTATTACTACTGTACAATTGTCTGTCAGACATGAGAGAAGAACTCTTCATGATTAGCTTCAGTAATTCATAGATGTGAATGATAAATGGGGAGAAACAATTTAAAGTACTAAAGCCAGTTCTTTCTTCCTAATGGTACTATTTCTTGGGGGGAAAAAATCCCACCCCAAACCCCAAAGCTCCTAACTTTCTAAGATCTATATGTAGGCACTGCAGCTTCTAAAATCCCTTTTTTCATATCAAATGTCTGCACAATTTTGGACTTTACCAACTACTGTCATGACTGATGGCAAAAATACTATTAACTTTAAGACATAAAATATTTTTGTTTCTGAATTACATTATTGCAGCTTGTGTTCACAGGATGAGGAATCATCAGTTGTCTGTTCCTCTGAAGGTTCCTGTCTTTGGTTAGCCTTCCAAAACTAGAAGCTGCTGTCTCTGTGTCTTTCTGTTTCGTCTCCTTAAGCCACTCAGTCTTGTTCCTTCCTAGGGATCCAGGAGGCACAAATTCACACAAGGAAACTACATGCCAACTGCTTTTTCATTTTTCCCTCCTGAGTGAAGGCTACTCTGAATAGCATCTGCCTCCAAGTCAGACTTCCCTAATGGTCAGTGTGCAGGAAGCATCCAGGTGTTGGAGGTGACTGAATTCAGAAAGGCCCTGCCCTGCCCTCCCCCAAAGTGTCTATTGTTGTGTGTTCAGGTGTGAGCTTATACAAAGAAAGATCTGTATATACTTCTGTGAGTGCTTAAGGAAGCACACAAATATTCTAATGGTGCACAGTTTGTGTTACACATGCATTTAGCACATATGGTACGTTTTAGCACAACTGACAAACTTTAGCCTTACTGTTTTTCTTGTGATTGTTCTTACTAAAAGTATACAGGATTCCAAAACCTTTGCAAAAGAACCAGTACTGTTCCAAAGAGTGTCCATTTCAGACTTATTTAATGGAATTTGTATCCTTTGAATGTTCCAGTGTTCTCTACTATAAAAATACTGCAGTAAGTCTTCTACTGAAGTAATGTAGACTAGTTTTAGCTAGGTAATCACAAAATGAAAACAGTTTGAATACCATGTTTGCCATTTTTTATCTTGTTAAAAAAGAAAAAGCACAGCTTTCTTACCTAAGTAGTAGGGGGGCAAAAAAACCCCACAATAAAAATTCTTTATTTTTTTCCTAACAGCAGTGTTGGGAGGATGCTGAATTAATTCATACATGTGAGACCCCCTACCTAGACAGTAGCCCACTTTTATGGACTTCAGTGGTTGTGATGTAATTCAAAGCCTTGTTTACTACCCAGGTCCTTAAATAAGGTGGAGAACATTAAATCAAAAGTAAAATACTGTTCAAAGAGTGGCTGCCACCATGCCTTAATACCCAGTATGGTATCCTCACTTACCACTTGAAAAGTTGTTTGCAGAGGGGCTGTATATAAACTCTGTAACAAAAATTGCTTGTGGCCTGTTCAACATCTAAAATGTTATTATGTAGAAACACAGAATGGTCTGGGTTGGAAGGGACCTTAAAGATCATCTCATTCCAACGCCCCTGCCCTGGGCACCTCCCACTAGACCAGGTTGCTCAAGCCCCATCCAACGCGGCCTTAAACACTTACAGGGATGGGGCAGCCACAACTTCTTTGGGCAACCTGTTCCAGTGCTTGAATACCCTCACAGTAAAGAATTTCTTCCTAATATCTAACCTAAATTTCCCCTCTTTTAATTTGTACCCATTGCTCCTTGTCCTGTCACTACAGTTCCTGATGAAGAGTCCCTCTCTAGCATCCCTGTAGGCCCCATTCAGATACTGGAAGGTGCTATGAGGTCTCCACACAATCTCCTCTTCTCCAGGCTGAACAGCTCCAATTTCTCAACCTGTCTTCTTCACAGGGGAGGTGCTCCAGTCCCCCGATCAACTTTCTAGATATCTCTGGACTTGCTCCAACAGGTCCGTGTCCTTCTTACGTTGGGGGCACCAGAGCTGGACACAGTATTCCAGGCAGGGTCTTGCAAGAGCAGAGCAGAGAGGGAGAATCACCTCCCTCAACTTGCTGGCCATGATCCTTTGATGCAGCCCAGGCTGTGTTTGAATTTCTGGGCTGTGAGCAAACACTGCCAGCTCATGTTGAGTTTTTCATCAGCCATCACCCCCAGGTCCTTACAGTCAGGGCTGCTCCCAATCTTTTCTCTGCCTAACCTTTAGGTGTGCTTGGGACTGCCCCAACCCAGGTGTAGGACATTGCTTTGTTGAACTTCATGAGGTCCCACCTCTCAAGCCTGTCAAGGTCCCTCTGGATGGCATCCCTTCCCTCCAGCATGTTGACTGCACCACACAGCCTGGTGTTGGCAGCAAACTTGCTGAGGGTGCACTTCAATCCATGTCACCATCAAAGATGTTGAACATATTCTGTGCTACCTTAAAGCCCAATTCTACAATTTCTGATAATTCATTCTCATTCATTGAGAATGATTTTTTTTTTAATTGTTTTTTAAGAGTTGGGTGTATAAGCCTAAATGTGAATGTAATATAAGACCCATTTGTGAAAAACAAATTCTTGACTATGATTGTACTTTTGATGTTATTGCAACTTTTCCTGCCTGACAAAGCTAGTCTGCAATCTTTGTAGTTCTGCTTAAACAGATAAGTGTTCTTATCAGCAGCAACTATGACTTTGAAATTATCTGAACTAATTTTATTTGAAAGGAGTGGGAAGTTAGTGGTTTCCACGAAGATGTGACAATACATACTTAATCAACCCAAGTTAAGAATCCTCTCCATTCTCAACCTGTACCAGTTTAGGCTTGGAAAATTACCATAAAAATAAATGGATGTGTTCGGGTCAGTAAGAATAACACACCTGGATTTAATTTTTACTGCAGGCCGGGTGTGGTAGAACCGTGGATAGTGCAGGCTAAGGTGGTGTAAGAATTACAGTTTCTTTACAGTGGGTTATTTTTTAAGCAACCATAATGCAGCTTCATTATCTGAGCAGCATTAGCTGGATGTTTTTAAGAATTTAAGCCCCTTTCCTGAAAGAATTTGGTTCCAAGCTTTGCTCCCTGCTTCAGACTTCAAACATGTTACCTGCTAGGTAGGGCTAAAAAGGTAAGTTTGAATATGTAACAGTTGGGTTTAAAATGTATGCTACAAACATTAATTTCCAAATCTAAGTTGCATGACACACCTAAGACTAGAATTCACCTGTGTACAATAAAGCAAAGGTACATTTCATGGGTCTCTCTTACATGTGAAGACGTATGGATATAAAATGTATTTCAGTCTTGTTTGGCTTGAGTATTCTCCCAGAATGTATGTTCTTACCTCAGCATGTATTGTAGTTGCTCAGTATTTGTATATGTTGCTAGAACTTAGACTGTATAAATAGTGAGGGGTTTTTATATGTATGTTAAAAAGTATTTTAAATAAATTGTACATATGTATTACTCAGTATGTTTGCAGTTAACACCTACCTTATGTCTAATTCATTTGTAGTTTGGAAATGCCAGGGTTATTTATGAGTTACCACACTACAACAGGGGTCTTTCCCTGCCTCCAAGAGTTTCTTGGCAGTAGGGATATGCAGCAACCACCCCCAGCAGGTCCTGGTCTCTGCTCGCAGTGAGCACAACACCTCTGCACTGCGAGAGGAGTTGCTAGTTTAGTCTTCAACTAGACCACGGCTATTTTCCAGTTACTGAAAAAAAGCTGATGCTGCTTTTGCTTTTTCCCCTTTTTCATGTTAATTCTACTGGCACCTGAGTGCCTAATAAAAGAAGTTTGTCATAATTACTCTTCTTCTGCAAGTACAAAGTCAGCATTGGATCCTAAATGGCTTAGTCCTTTGCTCGTCAAACTGAAACATCCTTGTAACATTACAAGCAGACTTGTCTCCAGAAAATGAATGCCAGACCACCTGCAAGCAGGTTTGTAGTATCAAATTAGATGGACTAGTTTAAAAGGTAAACCTTGTTTCAACAGTAAAATAACATTGCCTTAGCTGCCCAGATCATGGAAAACTATCAGTTTTGCATTTCATGAACTAAAGAGACAAGAGAAAGAACTTTTCACAGCAGTTATTAGGAGCAAATGAGGAATGGCTACAAGGAGAACAGAGGAGAGGGAATTTTAATTGATGACCTTTCAGAGACTGTTTTTGTAGTTTTAAGATCAAACAGCACAAGTTTCACACATACCTCTAAGAGGCAATAAAGAAAGTAATTAAGTATGATGCAAATAAACCAAAAAGGCCAGTGATATTTTGTACTCCTTCACACTTCAAAGGGACAGACTTTTAACAGTCACTTCTGCTCTACCATAGTAAGCTCAATTTAATGGAAAGATGAAAACTGGACAAACACCACTGGAAAACTCAGTACAAGTAAAAGATTTTAAACCCAGGGGGAATGTCATACAAAATAAAAAGAAACTGAACAGAAAAACTAAGAACAAAGGTTTTTTACAATTATCTACGATTATCTAGATTTCAAGTTTCACCCTTGAGACTAACAGAGGGTGTTGTTCAGATGACAGATAGGGAGAGGAGCAGGGGGACACCACCACAGCACAAGTGGCAGAGTTGAATCCTGAAGGATGGAGGGTGCAAAACCCAGGCAGCACTGAACCCAAGCCTAAAAAACAAACTGAAGCCTGACCCATGCTGACACAGAGCTGACATCCACACCACGGGAACATGTGGGATTTGTGGCTTTAGTTGTTTCATCTTCAGTTCTCTCCTTTTTATGTTGCTCCATTTATTTTGTTTTTTTTTTTTTTTAAACTGAGAAATCTTTCCGTTCTTTAGGGGGCTCACTGTAAGTTGAGGTCCAGGGAAGTCTATCTCAAAGCTCCACCCCACAGAGGACCTTATCACAAAGCTACAGAATTTGCATGGGAACTGAAACAGGAATGTGTAATTTATGTTCACTGCAATCTCGTAGGTAACAGTACCTTAAACAGGAGCACATTCAGACATGGAAACAGCACCTGTCTTGAACTGGCATGTGATGTATTGTTCAATCTCATGGCACAGCAGTGAAAATTCCTGATTCACAGGAATTAAAAACAAATTCAAGATTTTTTTTAGCTCCTTCTGTGAACACAAAATAATATATCAGAAAAAACAGCACTAACACAAACACACAAATGTATGTAGAACATCTACAATAGAATATACTCAGAATTAATTCAGTATGGCATTAGCAGAATAAGAATTAGAACATTCCCCAGACACTGAAACAAAATACTCCAAACAAGCCTCTGCTTTTTTTCTTCAGGTTTTACAATGATGATTTTGGAACAAAAGAACAAAACAGAGAAAAAAAGATTAAATCCTAAAAGAAGTTGCTAAGCCATCTATATTAAAAGGTAACTTAGTCCAACCTCTCCTTCTGCCCCAAAAGTCTGGTTCACTGGGAGCAAAAGCTTGCATTTTTCAGTAAAACTCACATGTTTTGAAACTTTAAGAGATTTCCCAGCTGCAGCTTCATGCAACAACAAAACCCAAATACCTCATTAGTGTAAAAAAGTGACAGAACAGGGATTCTAGTTCTCAGCCCACAAAAGACCATTCCAGCTGTAATCCTGGGAAGTCATGTTCCTTCAGACAAGTGGGTAAAAAGACCTCATGATATGTCCTCGAAGAATTACTCAGCATCCTGTTTTAATACTTACCTGGCACAAAATGCACCATATAAATGAGCACGCACCACATACAGTGTATTGTGTCTGATGCTACTGGATAAATCTCACTATCCTAAATTATTCAAGACACAAAATTATTTTAGAGATTCAAACACTAATGATAGTTCATTAATCACTAGTGAAGAGCAGCTTTCCAAAATTGACAAACTTCAGGTATAACACATTCAAAAAGCAAGTTCCACTCCCATGCTCTCATCCCCACTTTCTAAGGCTTTGAATATGTAACACTTCTGATGGGGTCATTCTCTCTCCCAGCTGCAGCTAGATCCCCCATGTAATGTTAGGTCCCAATTTTGCAACTAGGACAGCTTCCACAATTGGATGGGGCAAGGTCCAGCATACTGCTGGAATAATTAGGTCTCAGAACCTGCCCAGACAATGTACGACAGGGGCTGGACACGCAACAGGCTCCAAGTAAGCTCTGCTGTCACTTCCAAAAGGAATTTTTTTTTTTTTGATATGTGAGTGCTTCTAAGTCCTGGTTGTTTTTTATTAGCACTCCTTCTTTTATACCTACCTAAGAATCCTTCTGTTATTAGATGGCTGCTGCCTAGCTCGTTATTTTACATTCCTGAGGGTATTTATAAGCATCTATTACACAGCTGTAATACACCACAGGGCAGCTGGTTCACACCAAACACCAAACCACTCCTCAGCACCACAGACTTTCAGAATTTTCAGAGCTGTCTTCCAGTCCAGCTTTTGGGTAATCACAGCAAACCACAATACATTATTACTTCAACAGTTACCTTTCTTTCCCAAAATTAAATGGGGTCTAAATCCAGTAATTTGATGTAAAGGAAAAAACTTTAAGTCCTAACACAATTCCAGTTCCTAATAGCAGTTATAGCCAATGATATTTCAATTATGTTTGCACAGCAAAATAATTTATGGTTCTCTGCATATTTTATAGCTTTTTTTTCCAACACAGTAGAGGA